TTGATCTCACGAAGAGCTTGTTGAAAATCAATGTGGAAAATTTCACAAATCTCCAGTTTTGTTTCTGTTTACAGAGCTACGGGGATTATAACTTGAAATTTGTCCAGTGAAGTGTTTCTTTATGTTACTAAATAAAATTGATTGAAAATATGACTTTTTGCTCCAGATGTAAATTGGAGTTCATTCATTTTAATGGAAGGATTGCCTATTTAATGTTCATTTGTTCCTGTGATCTTTCTAAATATGCGTTCTTGAATCATTCCAAAATCTATCTGATGGGGCTTAAGTTGAACTGAACAGGGAATCCTGTTTTCTTTTGTCTTCAGAAAGCTTGCACTTTAACTGGTAGACTTAGCAATCAAACCACAGTTCCATGAACGTTTGGAAATTTCATCCATCCATCCCTCCATACAGGATGTTCAGGACAATGCCAAATTCCTTCTATATGAATAGCTCAGAGGTCATAAGGCATAGGGGCTGCTTTGTTATTGCATTGGGCATTTCTGATTTCATGAACTAGTTTGATTTTGTGATCTTTTCCATTATCCCTGGGGATTCCTCAGGTTTACCGTTGCGACCCTTACTGTTTTCTCCTTGATTTCATTTTCCAGTTCTGTTATTGCATCTATATTGATGGTTTTCAGATGTATTCTTTTGTCACTGCTCTGAATAATTTGGCATAGCCATCTCTTTTCAATGTCTAAGCAGAATTTCTGATTGGATGGGCCTTCACAGCCTTAAATACAGGGGTGGGCTTCAAAAATTTTAGCAAGGGGACTCTGCCCGGTTGCTGGGTGGGCGTGGCCATGGTGGGCATGGCCTAGTCAGCCTCCTGCACTATGGTGTGTGTGTGGGGGGGAGGGGCATTTTTGGCCTCCCTGGGCTCTGGAGACTTTTCTTGAGCCTCCGGGAGGGTGAAAACGGCCTCCCCATGGTCTGGAGGTTCTCTGGAGGCTGGAAACAGGCTCGTTTCCAGCCTCCCCAAACTTCCGGTTGGCCCATTTTTCCGCCTCCCCAGGCCTCTTTGCGTGCCCTGCACTTACTTGCATCCAAAACGGGCTGCGTGGGGACTCCTGGGAGGGGAGGGGTGGGCGGGGCCAACCAGGAGTGGGATTTGAGGGTTCCCCGAATGGCACAGAATCTTAGCTAGAGGTTCTCCCGAACCGCTGCGAACCCCCAGCAGCCCACCCCTGCTTACATAGAACATGAAAGCAAACAGAAGGCAGACATTATAGTCCATCTTGGTTATATCCTCTCCTTTCCTCCAGTTTTCTTTATTCTTTTGGCTCAAGGCTTCAGCTACAGGTTTCTTTTAAAGTATTCCATTAAAAAAAAAATGAAAAGTGCTAATTTCCATTTCATGAATATTCAAAGGATCCATCAGTTTCTCACTACCAAGATGGCTAAGCAGTTGGTTCATGCCCTGGTTATCTCTCTCTTGAATTATTATGGAAGCAGTTGGCTGAGTTACCCAAGACTTGTGCCAACGTTTGATCTCTGTACAGCTTGCTGCTATTTGTAAGCAATCTGTACAAGAAGGAAGGCAGGACCTTCCTTCTTTCATGTCTACCTCTTCTTAATGCCTGGCATTTTGCATAAAGGTCCACCCAGCAATTTAAAAGAGCTTCTGGTGGTTCATAAATGCACAAATTTAATCCAAATATCAGACCATATGTTTTCTTTAGAGTCATAGGGATAAAAGGGACTTTGGAGGTCTTTTACTCCAACCCCCTGCCCAGGACAGGAGTCCTTATTCTATCTTGGACAATTGGTTGTCCAATCTTATCTTGAAAACCTCCAGCAATGGAATATTTCTGTAGTAGAAGAGGCAGATTGTGGTTGCAACACTTTTCATGTCTGTCTCCATTTAAAAAAATAATAATAATACCCTCTCAAATTACATTTTACAGTCAGATTACCTAAGGTTTAAAAGCACTAAAACACTATTTTTCTTGAAATAGTGTGAAACCATTTAAATTAATTAATGTATGTTTATTAATTTGTACGTTCAGATATTATTATTATTATTATTATTATTATTATTATTATTATTATTAATAATAATAATAATAGATATTATGATTATCTCTTTTATTCATTAAACGTGAAACTCAGTCAACTGAACGTTTAAAAATGTGTTACAAATACCATTGATTAATGGTTGATACGGGTTGCTGCCAGCATCCTAGGTATCAACCAAGTACCTTCTTAAATGTACGATGTTCCAAGTAGCACAGTTTTTTGCAGTTCCGCTGGTGTTATTGCAGGAAGCTGCAATTTCTTGATGTGTTTTGTAAAATTCTTGGACATGGTACCAAGTGCCCTGATGACAATGGGTATCATTGTTACATGTTTCATCCATAATCGCGTAGTTTCAATGGCCAGGTTGCGATATTTCATGATTTTTTCCAGTTCTTTTTCTTTGACTCTGGTGTCTCCTGGTACCGCGTTATAGTTTGTTAGTTTGTTACTTTATTTGATTTGTATACCGCCCTACTCCCGAAGGACTCAGGGTGGTGAACAGCCAAGCAATAAAATACATAAATACACAAAATTTAAAAACCAGATAAAATCAAATTAAATCATTTTGGCCCGGACAGATTAAAACACCCCAATAATTTAAAAACAGATTAAAATTTACATATTAAAAGAATTAAATTGTATGTTTTGGTTTTCAACAACTGTGATAACTGGCGTGTTGTGTTCCAAATGATGATCCATCTGTATTCGAAAGTCCCACAAGATCTTCACCTACTCATTTTCGATTACTTTTTCCACTTTATGCTCCATTATTATTATTATCTCTTTTATTCATTAAACATGAAACTCAGTCAACTCAACATTTAAAAATGTGTCACAAATACCATTGACTGGTGGTAATGGTTGATACGGGTTGCTGCCAGAGTCATAGGTATCAACCAAGGGTGAAATGCTCCCGGTTCAGACCAGATCACCCGATCCGGTAGCGATGGCGGTGAGTGGTTCAGAGAACCGGTAGCAGAAATCCCTGCCCCCCCATGCCCAGCTGAGCCGCGCAATCATCAGAGGCTTTTTTTTTTTTACTTTTAAAAGCATTTTTTTCTACAAAAAAAATCCTCTGGTGATCGTGTGGCTCAGCTGGGATTGTCAAAACCTTTTAAAAACATTTTTTCTACAACCTCTTCAGCTGAAGAGGTTGTAGAAAAAAATGCTTTTAAAAGAAAAAAAAAAGCCTCTGATGATCAGGCAACTCAGCTGGGATTGTCAGAGCCTTTTAAAAGCATTTTTTTTTTACAACTTCTTCGGCTGAAGAGGTTGTAGAAAAAATGCTTTTAAAAGTAAAAAAAAAAAAGTTGGCCACGCCCACCCTGTCACATTACCCCTCCACCAAGCCACGCCCACAGAACCGGTAGTAACAAAATTTACATTTCACCACTGGTATCAGCCAAGTACCTTCTTAAAATATATGATGTTCCGAGTAGTGCAGCTTTTTGCAGTTTCGCTGGTGTTATTGCAGGAAGCTGCAATATTATTATAATAACATTATTATTATTATTATTATTATTATTATTATTATTATTATTATTTTAAGGCTCTTATGGCCTTGAAGCTCCATATTTTATATTCTAATTTACAATGTTACAGGATGAATTGTGAGCTTTATCCTGCATGATATTTAGTTATGGAGTATGCTATATTTACGATTGCTGCTCCTCCTTTTCCTCCTTTTCCTTTAAGTTATGTATGACAAAATGTATTTTGGGTATATAACCAAGTTTTAATGCAATACATTTTCTCAGAACTGGTCTAAATCAGTTCTGAGAAATCAGGTCAGAACAAAATTTGGAAGAGAAAAACTTTTTAACGATTCCTCATGTACTCAACAGCTTGAGTTGTGGTATGAGATAGCTAATTAATTAATTAATAGCTGCATGGTATGGAAGAATACTTCATAGATGCAAATGAATTAGTGTGATGTTTGGAGATGTCACACTTTAGAATGATACTTAATATGCTTCTGTATTTAAATTCTACATTAGGATTTAGTAGAACCATAAAAGCTGTGGTTGCTGGTACTATATCATTTTTTTCCCTCTCCAGTCCTTTTACTTCTTGCTTTCTCTTTCGCTCTCTGCATGGCCTGTCAGAAATCTGAAGGTTTAATTTCCCAGTTTGGTTTCTTTTACAAGTAATGCATTAATAAAACAATTCCATGAAAATGGACCGGCATAAAAGCTTTCTTGAAGAATTTTCAGGGAGTTCTAAATCACCATTTTGTTTAATGCACTGTTTGAACAATTTACTACTGAGATTTTTTCCTTTGTCAAATGGGCTTTCTGTGTTTAGGCTGCATAATGCACCTGCACCTTCTCATTTGCTCTGCTATCAGATCAAAGTTGTTTTGTGAGACACCATTGAGATCAGTTCATAAAATGGTCATTTTTCGGCCTTTAAAAGTATTTTACTTGTGAAAAGATGCTTTTTAAAAAAAACCCGCTATTGTCTTCAGAATTGGTTTTCAACATATGGATGACCTATTTACCTTATTACTGTAAAGTCATTTTTGTTGGAGGGCTTGCTGCATCTTTAAAACACAGAGACATGTAGAAAACAACCTTCCCTCTTAATGTATTGACAGAATTATCAGCAGTGGCGATGAAATACAACAGGAGTTGTCCAATAAAAGTGATGGATTGTCTAATTAACTCTTGATTCGCGGTAGTTTTGGAAAGACTGCTACCGACTGATCTTAGTGAAGGCTCCTAACCTTCACGCTGAGAGCATACAGCTAATTACTCCGTGGACTATAATTCTGCTCCCTGAGCCTCAGTCCATCTTTATTTATTTATTTATTTATTGGGCCTTATGAATTATACCATTATTGAGCTCAGTGACCCCACGGAGGCTACAAAAGCTGCTATTCAACCAAACACGGATTTGTCAGATTATGAGAGCAGCGCTATTCAGATCAGGCAAAAAGTATTTAAGTGAATAATTTAATAAGGATCTTTATTCTCTAGGTTTTCCATCGATCGGAACACTGACCTTGAGAGACAATTCAACATTAATACTCAAGATGGAAAGATAACATTGGCCACACCGCTGGACAGAGAAACTAGCACATGGCATAATATAACCATTGTAGCAATGGAAGAAAGTAAGTGATTGTCCGTTTTTATCATTTTTATTTTGCCTATTTGGTCTTCGACCCCCTCTGTTGTCTGTTTCCTATTTTCTTGGAAAGGTTCAATGAGCTAAAGCCACCAGCAATTGTAATTTATCAGTTAGTCTTCTCAAAAGAGGGGTGGGAGGAGAGAGAGAAAGAGAGAGAAAGAGAGAAAGGGAAATAATTGTTTACGCTGAGTAATCTGCATGTATTCTTGTTTATTGTGGTTGTTTTTAATCAGATATGCCACCAGAGTAAAATTAGGCCAGCCGGGAATGGAATAGCATGGGAAATGCTCCAAGTAATGTTTTTTAATGAATACACTGCAGCACCATGTGTGAGATGACATTTTTATGGCATGTAGATATCTCTCTCTTTCTCTCTCTCCCTTTGAAATAATACCTAGATGCTTGGACCACCCTCATTTTCCTTTCAAACCATGAGATATTGTACAAAATTTAACAGCCTCCTGAAAAAAGCATTGCCAGAAATCCCTTTACTTAGTTATTTTGTTTAGTTTCCTAAAAAGCATTGGCTACCCTGCCTTCCCTTTGAAGGTTTTGCCAAGTAAATGGATAAAATTTTCAAATCAGAAATGAGTGTTGGCAACGGTGTGCAGACATTTCTATAGTGATTTTTACTAGGTTTATGTATGCCAGGTCTAGAAATAAAATTTTTACCGTGGATCCAAAATACTGGCTTCAATATTAGTGAAGCACACGTCATATCCCTCCCTCAACTTGCTCTGATTACATTATCTAATTGAGTGATGAAGCAACTGAACAACTAACCTCAGAAAGTATCAAAAAAACCTACACTGAATTGTTTAAAATATACTGTGTTTCCCCCAAAATAAGACCCTGTCTTATATTTTTTTGAACCCCGAAATAAGTGCTTGGCCTTATTTTCGGGGAGGTCTTATTATTTTGGGGTGTGTGGAGCAAGACAGGGATCCTCTTGCCATCTTATCTGATTTCCAGCTCTGTCTCCCTAACCCTAACCAGAGGATATGGCAGGGACTGGCTGTGCATGCAGTTAAATATTTTCAGGGAGGGCTTATTTTCGGGGGAGGGTTTATTTTTGGGGAAACATGTTATTTATTGAGTTTTAAAGATGTATGTTCGGATACAATTTAAAGGGAATGAAGGGCAATGGGCCTACTATAACGATTCCAAGCCAAAAATAATTCAAACAATTAAGACTGCTGATGTAGGAGATACATGATGAATTCCAAAGTGGCTCAGAATCATTGACTGAGATGGGCAACTATAAAACAAATAAACAATTTGTTTATGAACAAATAAATAAATTACTGAAAGAAGTCTGATGGATACATCAATGGATACAACAATACGATATATTCAGTGTGCACAATAAAACTCAGCAAATATTAGTACGTCTGGCAACTTCTGGCACTGAACAGACCTAATTCCAGCTAAATAGTCTTGATGTATGTTACACAGTTCTGAGCCATGAAATAATGTAAGGTAGATTTTTGGGTTTGGTTTGGTTTCCTGGCAGAAAGAGATCCTTTGAACTCGTTTCCTGGTTTGCAACATTTAAATACAAATTTAAATACACTTTGCATCATAAAAGACTCATTCTTTTTAATACAGTCAGATTTGTTTGTAACCTCATAAGGCTGTAGTCAGGAATGTTCAGTGTGTTCTGGCAGAATTACCATATTTTTCGGAGTATAAGACACACCCTTTTCCCCCCTAAAAGGGAGTGAAAATTTGGGCGCGTCTTATACACGAAATGTAGCCCCGCCAACCCACTGCCCCACACCCTTGGGCCTCTGCCTCCCAGCAATTTACCTCCTTGCAGCAAGCAGCAAGAAGAAACAGCCCATTTCAGCTTCAACCCAGCCTAATTAGCACAAGTTGATTGTCCCTTGGATCGGCCTCCTGACTCTTAGCTGTTTCAGGCTGCAGGGATTGCCATTGCCTATTGCTGCGCGGGCCTCTGCTGCTTGCTGCCAGGAGGTAAATTGCTGGGAACAGATTTTTTTTTTTCCTTGTGCTAATCAAGCTATGCTGAAAACGAAAGTGAAAGTAAAGCAGGCTATTTGCTGTTTGCTGCAACGAGGCAAAATTGCTGGGAGGCAGAGGTGGATTTCTTTTTCTTGTTTTCCTCACCAAAAAAGATAGGTGTGTCTTATAGTCCGGTGCGTCTTATACTCTGAAAAATATGGTATAACATGGATATCCAGAAAATCCTGTTCTTTTTAAAACAAAAAACACTAAATAGTGAATTCCTGGCACAAGCCAGATCTGTTCTGGAAAAGAGAGTAGTTTGTGATGTTTGAGATACAATTAACAAGCCTACTGCAAGGCCAGCTCATATCCATTAACACGCTTTATAGAAAGCATAAGCCACATCTTAATTGGATTCACAGAGTGGTAAGATTTAAGAAGGGGAAAGTTAGGGGAGGAAGAGAGATAGGCTACTTATGCAGATGAAGGTTACATGTGAGACAGATTACAAATACTTTAGTAATTAGCAATTGCAATGTATTAAAATCAATTGTGTTTGTTAAGCCCTTCTGAGATAGCCTGAAGCATTTTAGATGTTTCTCACTTGATGGTATTGTTAAACTCCCAATTTTCTAAAATCACTTTGAGTCCAGAGTGGTTGAAGTACTCTGATGTTATGGTGGTGTTCTTTTGAGTTCGGATGTCTATCTTGTGTCTGTTAATTATTTTATGCAAAGTTCCCTCCTGTTTATCCTCTGTAGCAGGGGTCTCCAACCTTGGTCACTTGAAGCCTGGCGGACTTCAATTCCCAGAATTCCCCAGCCAGCTGGCTGGGGAATTCTGGGAGTTGAAGTCCGCCAGGCTTAAAGTGGCCAAGGTTGGAGACCCCTGCTCTGTAGAATCTAGGAGGACCATTAGTGGAAAATGGTGGCATATATCACATTGAAGGAAGAGCTTGTGAAGGTGTTTCTAGTCTTGTGTATAGGTTTTATGGGTCCTGAAGTAGTGATCTTAGTATAGATATGAGTAAATATCTAATTTGTTGCAAAAAAAAAGATATCTAGTTTGTTGAGGAACTGGCTCCCACGTTGGTATTACTGACCTGTTGTTTCCTGTTGCTTATAAGAATTCAGCTTGAGCAGTGAACTGTATGTTAGTATGGATCTGCAATGCCCGAGAAAGCACAGCATCATTGTCCAGTATGGGCTATAGCTTATTAATAATGAATTGCGAGTGCACTTGAGATTATTGACATCTGGCATGATTTCATTTTTAATATCTGGGGATGAGGAAGAGCATTCTTGAAAAATTGTAATTTAGAGAGCCAAATGCACAGACAGACACATACATGCTATGTATGGTCTCCTTCTGGACACATATGATCTGTGTTCCTATTTTATTTTTTCCTGCTTTTCAAATTGCAAGCATGCTAGTGTTGTGTGGAATCTCTATTACTGCGATTAAAGAATCTTCACTAAAAGAAATATGAATAGTGTGAAAGAAATGAAGAATTGAGAATGTAAATGATTTTTGAAGAGTATTGTCCAGTGAATCAATATACAGAACGAATGGATGGATGGATGGATGGATGGCAGGTAGATAGAAGTCTATATATATATATTAGTACATACATTTTGATTGTGTCCCTTAGTATCCTCTTACTATGATGAATCAGGTTCTTGGAAGAGACATGTCCATTTATCAAGAATTTTGGATTTACCATCCTGGAATTTTTGCCAAAAAGTGGTTTTTAAAAATGTGCATGTATACCAGGTATGAAAGGTTAACTAGGTGAAATATATCAGCTTCCAAACTTTGAACGGGCTTTTTTTTTAATTATTAAAGAAAGATTAAACAATATGATCGAGATTTAATTTATTTAAAATTGAGTCATAGCATATTTTATATATATGCAGTTATCCTTGTATTCTTATATTTGGATTAGGATTTATGAGGTGTATAGTTTGCTCTGACTTTTTTTGTAATTTGTTTTGATTTGATTCACATGTTTTGCTTTGTTTTCGTTTTATGGTTGTATAATAGCAATTAAAACTAATTAAAAACACTATTATATATCTTATACTACATCCCACAAACATACCATATTCTCTCCTTTTCACAAAAGAGCTTATTTTTTTGGCACAGGAAATCGTAGTCTTCTAGAAACTGAGAATTCAAACCAGAGAGAGAAGAACATTTAGAAATGCTTCTGGCAAATGAGGTCATAGAAGGATCTTAAAGAACAGGCAAAACATGAAAGTTTATTTTCGGTTGGAAAAATTGTGACCTTTGCAGAACAGAAGAAAAATGAACTGTGTAGACCTTTTAGACATTAGGGAAATAGCAGTTTGAACAGATGCCATCACCTTCCTGAATCTTTCTGCATGGAACAATTTTGTTAGACTGAGCTGTGATTCTATCCTAAATTTAACTCCCTCCCCCACAATAAACGCAACCCCCAAGTCCATATTGGGCAAATAAAATCTATCCATCCATCCATCCATCCATCATCTATCTATCTATCTATCTATCTATCTATCTATCTATCTATCATCTGTTGTCTGTCTGTCTGTCTATCTATCTATCTATCTCTATCATCTGTCTGTCTGTCTGTCTACCTATCATCTATCTATCATCTATCTATCTATTATCTATCTATCTATCTATCTATTATCTATCTATCTATCTATCTATCTATCTATCTATCTATCTATCTATCGATCTATCTACGTACCTACGTACCTACCTACCTACCTATCAACCTACCATGTTTTCCCAAAAATAAGACATCCCCTGATAATAAGCCCAATTGGACTTTTGAGCATATGCGCTAAAATAAGCCAACCCCAAAAAATAAGTCCTCCCCAAAAATATTAAAACGCACGCGCAGCCAGTCCCCGCCATTTCCTCTGGTTAGGGTTAGGGAGACAGAGCTGGAAATCAGGTAAGATGGAAAGAGGAGCCCCGTCTTGCTCCATGCGCCCCAAAATAATAAGACCCCTCTGAAAATAAGGC